CAAACCCGTTTCAAAATTTATTATATTATTTCTTTCTTGGGAAACGTAAGCGTAACGAATCGATGCGAGGAAAGGAAGAATTAATATTTCGAACGAAATATCTAACGTATAATTCTCGATTGTTATCCGTTTTCGTTACCGAATGTTGTTTACCGATGATAAATGAAGAGTCGCTCGAAATATCAGAACGTGCTCGCTCGTCCGTGATTCTATCCGTGGACGCGGTAAGGTCACGTTCATTGTACTTGCGGAACACGATAATTTAAAAAGCTGGTGTTCCGTCCGTTACCGTTTCGTTTCACCGAAGTTCATTGCTAAGGCCATATCTTTTAATTCGACGATTTTGCGATTCGCCGAGGAAGCTGCGGAACGCAACGCTCCTCGTTGGCATCGTTGTACTCGACGCGATGAATCATCGAGCATTGGCGGTGTGGGGTCGCTCGCGCGCGCGCGTGCGTGCTCACAGATCGAAGCGACTGGCCAGTAGACACGAGATCGAACGTTTATTCGAATCGCTTGGGAAGATTCCACTTGCCCGTGCACTCGTGCTCGCCTCGAACAATGCCGATTAATTTGGTCGAGAGTCACGCGTCGCCGTGCGATGTCAGCTCGGTTAGGCCCGCCGGTCGTCGTCGATCAACGTGACGACCGATGTGAGACACGAGCGACGCGCGTCATCGTTATTACGCGCGTCTCGTATTACGCAACGAAACGTATAGGCGGGAAAACGATCCGAGAACGGGACACGGAAGGACGCGAGGCAAGGCAAGGCAAGACGAGGCGAGGCGAAGTGAGGTGAGGCGAGGCGAAGCGAGGCGAGGCAAGACACGAGAGGCGAAAAGAGGAGAGAAAGGTGGAGAGAATTCGCGATTGGCGAGGAACGGCACGCGCCACGGGCTACCTCGGCGACATTGTACGCGCGTGTTTTTTTACTTATAGTCCATGTTGTGTGCTTTACTTACCTCTGGCACGGAGGTGGTTTCGACTTCTCGGCATTGGCGAAACATCGAAGAACGATGAGGAGTGCGAAGAACGTAGTAGCAGCATTCACCAGGATATTTCTCGAACCACACCGGATGGAACAGCTCGAGGCCATTTTCTCTTCACCGATGATCTCCCGCGATCTCCTTCTCTTCCCTCTTTCTCTTTTCTCGATTCTCTTACTTTTTTTTCTCTTTTCCTTTCTTTTTCGTCCTTCTTCTCCCTTTTTATTTCTCTCTTCTTTTCTTCTTCTTCTGTTTTCTTCTTCTCTTTTTTTTTAGTTTTAACTTTTAGCTTTACTAAAAAAACGGATGCGTGTGCGCGCGCGCACGCAGCGAATCTTTTCTCTATTTTCTGTTTTTTTTTAATCGAGTATATTTCGCGATAAAATATATATATATATA